AATTTTTTTTAATTTTAGGTTTACATAGTTATTTCATTTGTTTTCCTTTATGAAATAACCTTGGCGTCCATGTTTGCTCTTTGTTTGCTGGTTTGGACAAAGCAACCCAGCTTTGTTGTGTTACTACAACCTTGAACACATCCATGTTTTCATTTAACGTCATCTTAACTTTCACCTCATCGGAACTATTTATTTTGACTCCCCACGTTTCTGTTTCCCTCTGCTGCGGACTAATCTCAGCTGATCCGTGTGTAATCACAGGCCATCTGGGCGCTGCAGGCGGAGATGAACCTGCAGCTCATCAGATGAACGAGCTCACTGTTTAGTGGATGCCTGCTCATGTGCATGCACGTGCTCTCTCTCTCTCTCTCTCTCTCTCTCTCTCTCTCTCTCTCTCTATATATATATATTTTTTTTTCAAACAGAACTTATAGACAAACTGTTACATTTTAGAGTCTGCAATTAACATAAAATACAGTACACCTTGGGTCGCTGATGGTGAAGTGGTACACCCGCCTGACTTGTGTGCGGGCAGTGTGGAATCAGGTCCCACTCAGTGATGTGTGGATGTGAGTGTGAATGGTTGTTTGTCTCTATAAATGCCCTGCGACTGACTGCCGACCAGTTCGGGGTGTAGTCTGCCCAGTCAGCTGGGACAGGCTCTAGCAACTCCCCACGACCCTGTCAGGATTGGCAGTGTTGAAAATGGATGGACGATTTATGCAGATACAGTACACTTCTCCTGTGCATCATGAAATTCATGAGGGTTCTCATCCTCACCAACAGATGCGATTCCATACATATCCATAAACATCATCACCACACATAAAATATCATAACTCATGTTTCAGCGAAACATTGTGATGATGAAAGTCGTCATCTCTGTGCAGGCTTGTCTCTAATGAAAGTGTGACTGTGTGTGTGTGTGTGTGTGTGTGTGTGTGTGTGTGTGTGTGTGTGTGTGTGTGTATTTATAAAAGATAATGAGATTTATTTCAGCTACAAAAAATACGAAGAAGCACCATTCACAGAGCCTTCTCTCAACTGTACATCTGTGCGCCACTATGCAATATTTTATTTATAATTTTAAAATATAGGGTTTTTATGTGGCCCGCAATCTGGGACCCACATTTGGGGACCACTGAAATTGGGGCCTGTGCCCCAATGGAACTTACTGCATAGCAACGTCTCTGCTCTGCACCTTCTTTCCCCACGTTGCTTGAGGCCTCAACCTCCAATCAGCAGTAGCTTTCTCCAGTGACAGCAATTCTCATCACTTTATTCAAAAGCAGGGACAGACTGCAGATGGACCACGCAAGGTTCCAACCTTTTTGTAATACAGATAAGACCTTGCCCCTGCTGCATGTATTAATAATGAATCGAAGGTTTCTCTTGTGGGTGAAATATTAATGGCTTCTTTAAAGATGAGCTTTGACTCCCATGGGAGGCAGGGAGGTAGGGAGGGAGGATAGCATGCTTGTTAGTATAATTGAAGACGTCTCTGTGATTTTTAGGCCCTGAATGTTTGAAAAGGTGTCTCTCGGCAGGGACATAATGGTGAAAGATACTTTCATGTTCAAGGGCAATTAAAATAGACATTTACAATCACTCGTCCACTTGCTAGGGAGTTTTGAAGGGCTTGTGCCGTAACCACTCCTCAGTGTCTTAGTGTGGAACTGTTCAGTCAGAATGAATGCGTGTCAGTAACCATAGAAACTACCTTTGTTTGTACTAGGCTACCTTTCCAGCGGCTCCTTTGCTGCTGTGAATACTCTAATTGCCCCACGGGGATAAATAAAGTTTTCTGAAACTGAAACTGAAACTGAAAACAGTAGTTGGCGTGACCTCTTGCCTGTTCAAACGGGATGTTGTGTCTTGCTGCTGTTGAAGACCTTCAGAGAGATTTGAATGAAAACAAGCGTGTTAGCCCAAGCACTACTGCGCACATCAATCCATAAGCACTCTTTTTAGGGAGACTTTCCTTGCTTTGGATTGTGAGTTGCCTCCATGACAACAGAATGTGTCCTCATCCGCATTCAGCTCTCATGTGTTGGCGTACGCGCAGAGGAAGATGCCATGTTCGTGCTCCTCTGAACGGTAGCAAGATTTGTATTTGTATTTGTTGTTTTTCTCTCCTCAAGTCGCCGCCAAGTGGAAGTGGTTATCAATGATGATATTTGGCGGGGCTTCAACCAAGCACTGACGCCGTGTCAGGGTATCAACTCAAGCTCATTTAACCAATTTGCCTTTTACTTGGCAAAGACATGAAATATACCTGTTGTGAAAAAAGAACTAGGATGCTTAGTGGGTGAACAAGTAGAAGTATAGTTAAGTACATTACATAATGCTAGATTGTCTTGTAACCAGCTTTGGTTGAAGTCAATAGCAAGAAGAGCGGAAACATCCTTTGTACAAGGAAGCTCTTCACTGCTGTTCTTTGCTCTTCAATTCAGGAAGAGATGATGTCTAGTTCTGATTAATTTGCTGACGTGATGCTCTGGCAACTTTCATTGTCATCTCATTGGAGGCCATTGCTTGCAGTCTCTTCTCACTTTCAGCGTATTTAAAACCCATCACGAGCCGCCAAATGGTTGGACTGGTTTTCTAATTGCAGCTAGTTGGGCATAAAATGCTTCCTATGGTGATTACTCAGTATTCAAGGATTGACACTTGTGCCTGATTGGTGTCAACGTTCTTCTAGTCTCGTCATTGAGTTCATTGTTCTTCGTCCAGCTTCTAAAATGTCTGGTATGGAAGAATTCGATGTACGGCAACGGAGGCCTTACATAAGAGGTAACGCTTTGGTGAGAGGTTCGACATTCCTCTCGAGAGCACAGCTCACATTCCTCTCCTCGGTGTAAAGAAGGGGCATGAGCACCATGCCTCATTAGATAACCACACAGACGAGGGTTCGCTTATTCAAGGAGGCTAAACCGGAGAGGCTGTGGCACAGATTTACATTTTGCCTTCATGTGAGAATATATCACCCCAGCAGGTGCTTGGGAAGCAGTTGGTATCGCCGTGGTGAACAGCACCTGTTCCCGTGTCTAAAGTGATGCATAATTCACTGTGGTCACAACGAGGTTAAGATTAGAGATGCTAAGCTAGGTGAGTATCTGTCTGTCCTTAAATTTGAGGATCAATCAGGGTCTTTGATAAGTTCCCAGGCAGACTTTAATGATTGTCACACTGTTGTAGCTAATTTTGGATTTTCTAGAACTGCTGCTGTGGTTGTCAGTGGCATTTGCCTATAGTTCAACATAGGATTCGGGTGGTGCCACCCACTCTTTTCACTCGACATTACGCTGGCTATTAGAGTTATCGCAACAAAATATTTCGGTGCAGCGTCGGACCAAATGTGTGCCGTGTGAACAGGGCTTTAGATGAAGTGGGGGGTGGGGGCAGGCACGTTGAGATTTGGAGCAAACAGGCCACTTGTAATTGTATGTGCATAAGAAACGGGTCGGTGCAGCTTGGGCCCATCGACCCGGCAGCTTTGGTGATCTACGTTAGTGAGGGGGGGGGGGCACACAAACATATGGATGTCCTCCCCAGAGACTCCTGCAACACTGAGACCCCCCGGGAGCCTGAAACGTTACTTAGCTCCCCTCTCACCTCCCTTTTGAAATGAGAAACAAGCAGACAAACAAACTATGATTCATGAGTAATTTATAAAGCATCCCATTAACCCATTTAATCCCATATTTTTCCCAGACGTTTAAAAGTCAAAATCAGGTGACATTGGTAGCTCTTTTAAGTAATCAGTCATAAAATTTTTTAGAGCCCTGTAAATTAAATCATTGTTGTCCTTCACAAATGTGACCGGTGGGATTAAATGGGTTAATATAGCCATGTTTCATCTTACATGAATGGTCACATATCAGAAGCAAAAAAAAAAAAAAAGCAACGTACTTTGCAAAATTGTATCTTAATACAGTAAATATTAGATTCGGTCTTTTTCAATGTCAAGTTCTGATTTTTGTATACGCTCATTTGTGTCTGGGTGGTACTAAAACTGTGCACTTCAATCAGTGAATGTGTTTCTAATGACTCGTTCGCTGGAGTCCTGACACACTCCTGCAACAACTGTGCAGGCGCATTCACTGATGCAAACACACACTTCCCCCATCTTTCATTCAACCACTTCTCTCACTTGATTCTCCCCTCCATCGCCATCGCCCCCTTCTCAACCTCCCGCCAGCCCCGGGCCCGTCATTAGTTTCCATGGTAACAGTTGGGAGGCATTATTGCTGGCTGAAAACTGCTCCTGGGTTCCTTTCTGAGCGCTGTTGGCGCAGGCATTGTTCAGTCCTTTGCTCCGAATGGTGCTGGGATCAGGAAGGGGAGAGCGCACAGGAGGACAAGAGTGCAATTTTTCCTGGGCTGGTTGTTGCATTGGTAGTGGGTTCTGCTAGGAGGAGGGGAGAGAGGAGGAGGAGATATAGGGGGAGGGAGGGAGAGAGAGAGAAAGAGAGAGCTAGAGAGAGAGACAGGGAGGAAGTGTGGTGCTTTGAATGAGTCAGTGAGGGCACAGGAGAAGTGGCAGTAGCACACTATGCACTCTCAGTGAGAAGGCTACACGAGCATCCAGGCTCCTTGCAGACTGGATCGCAGTTTTAGTCTTCATTCAGGCATCAGCTGACTTCTGGATCTACCCAACAAACACTGAAGACGGATTTCTAATTGATTTTAGCTGGTGAGCCTTACCTTCCCTTTCCATGTAATTTTTGTATTTGCATGTGAGCAAAAGCTGTTGTGAGGGCAGACACGTCGCTCGTTCTGTCTCCATATGAGTGTATGTGGCAGGTGGTTCTGCGCTGTCCTTGTCTCTGAGCGTCTGGCTTTGGCTGTGTAGGCTCCCCACAGTCTGCTGAAAGCAGAGTAATTCCCACTGCCCTCTGAAATATGCATACCAGTCTGCATGTTATATTCAGGATGCACGCTGGGGGCTATTTTCTGCATCTTCTGCACTGTTTTGTTGTTGTTTTTTTCAGGGAATTTCTAGGTGGCAGAGTTTCTCGGATTTGCGCTTCCGTCGATGCCACACTGGGTAATTGGGGGTGAGCGGTGAGCCCTCTGGCTCCTTGGACAAGTGAAGTGTGCTGAGAATTGGAGGGAAAGGTGATCGGTGCCAGGGTTTTCGTTCTTTGACTCTTCGTGCCTTGTCAGGATAAAACAGAAAGACCATTTTCCTCGGAAAATTACCGGTTTGTAAATAGCTCACATTTAATACCTGTGCTTGTATTATAACCATCAGTAGCGCCACAATACCTGTCACTGTGTCATAGGCATTTTATCTGCGATCTATTTCTAGCCTCAAAGTGCCATTATAATTTCACAAGGAATCTGCTTAAGGAGTGGGGAGTGTGATTGTTTCCATGACGACCAGCAGCAGCTGTGCGAGCTCTGGTCCAGGCGGAGTGTGTGACAGGCACTCTGGCATTGCCTAGAAACGATGCGGCTCAGTCTAATTGCTGACCTTTTGACCCAAATCAATAGCCTGATGCTGAGCCAAGCGTCCGCGGGATCCGCTTGACATTTATTCTGTCGTAGGACCCCGGTGCTGAACAGCTGCGGCCGCTCGCACGGTCGCAGGCTTCACTGGCAAGAGCGGACTGATTCTCTCAGATCGGTGCTATCATCATTGCGGCGTGTATCAACATAATCAAGTCAAGTCCAGTAGATGGATTTGTTTAGGCGTAATTAAAGCGTGACCTCAGAATTACTTTTCGGTATTGGGTTTCTTACCTCTTCTGAAGCGATATTTTAAGTACTTTGAAAAAAAACAAACATGATTTTTGTGGTGGAGGGGTTCCCAGTATTTTCTGCCCTGCATCTTTAGAAAACATTTTTAATAGTAATATGTCATTTGAAAATGAGTAGGTTGTCATGCATCCTCAAATAATATTGAGCATCCAATTAGGAGGCCTTGACTTGGAGCATCTTCCAAGTGTATGCACCAAATAAATGACTGATATAAGCAAGAGTCTTTTTTTTATTCAGCGCTAAAAGGGCAAAAGTATAACATCAAAGTGAGTCTGTAGCTTTTAAACAAATGAGATCTACAGCCAATCAAGTCATTCCCTCCATAAACACCCAAAGCGTGTATTTTTGCTCATGCCTCCTGTGGGGATGGCACTTGTTGTCAAGGCAACGGACAAAGACTCTCACAGTAGCCGTGTGTGAAAAGCGAAGTCTGCAAACCGCTGAGAAGTGGAAAAAAGTATTGCGTCATGTATCACCTCACTCCTTTCGGAGACTGGACAGGTTGACTTTTAGAGAGCCAGAGGAAGGCGTGCGTACAACCCACAGCTATCTAAACATACGGTGTGAAAGAGTGAGGGCCGCTCATCTGTGCAAGTGGGAAGACAGTTTGAAATAGTTAGCATCACTTCCTTCAAAAACATACTTAGACTATTGGGAAGGTCTTTATTTTTATTATTTGCTCCACTCCCTGTAATTTTGAGCTCAGGAACATCATTCCAGTGGTTTTTTTTTCCCTCCTCATTCCTTGGGTGAATCAAGAGGAAGAGGCCATTTTGGTCAGAGTTGCTGGTGGTGATGTGGACCGAGCCGCACACACAATGAAGAATGCACGAACATGCGGGCTTGAATTCAAACAGCACTTTTGTGGGATGCTGTTGTCCGGCTTCTACAAATATCATTGGGAAGGCACGCCGGCTTGCAACATTGAAATCCTGCTGTTGCTACGGCGACCCCGGATCAACTGAATTAGTAGTCTGTAATTTTCATGGGCAAGCCAGAACACCTCTCAAGTTGCGTTGGCACTAGCTAGCGTTACTGCTAATGTTACTGTGAACGCTGTTCAGTCTTCTAATTACTTGATATGGTTTAAAACTGAAGTTGAGTGATTGGATGATAACAGAGCGGCACCCTTTGCAGCCATCTTCTTCGGCAGGCGCCAGGAAGCATTTCTAACACGTCGCTCGAACAGTAAGAGACACAGGTGCTGTGTTTCCCACCATTGTGTGTTCTTTGCATGCATGCGCCCTTCACTTTCTCATCGGTTGTGGGCAGTCAGTCAGAAAGAGTTAGGAGCCCTCTTGTCTCCATTGAAGCATGTGCGTTGTCTTTGAATGGGACTTTGGGATCCGACAGAAGTAGCTGCAAGGAATCACACGCAAACGCACGTTCCCCAAACATGACAAATCTCCTGTCAAACGAAATCATATTTAGCAGCTGATAAGCTGTGCTTCCTCACTAATAGAGGCCTCTAATTGTGTCCCAATTTTACAGCCGATGCTCCCATTTCAGTCTTTGTAGTTGTGTCCCTGCTCATAAACAAGGACAAAGATTGGGGTTGGAACAGTAACCGGATAGTGAAATGAGTTTCTCCCTGGAGGACAAAGACAAAAGTGTGAATGCACGGTTGTGAAATGTGTTTTTATGGCTGTTACAGTTCTGTATGTGCACAACCTTCCAGACTGTTTTGAAGCATATATCCTGCTTTGGGGATGTTTGACCGGAGAGTCCGTTGCTGATGTATTCCCTTCAGGGGGGGAACTTTATTACATCCTTGTAAAATGGAATCTTGGTACCTGTGGACACATGGAGCTGCTTGCAACAGCCCGAACAACTTCCATACATGGCGAATTCGCGCGAGAGAAAACTGTTCCTTGTGATCTCTTCTTTGTACTTTAGCCAGTTGTCGTTTTTTTTTTTTTTCCGTGTCTTTTTCTGCGTGGCTATCTGCAACTCACAGCAAGACATTTGACTGCAGCCAGGTTGGCATTGCAGAAGAGAATCTAGTCCCAAATGCCTTTTCCTGGATAGATAAAGGTTCAATTGAACTGAACTGAAGTGACTAAGTACTTGATTTGAGTTTGGAACAATATCATGCTCATCTAGTGTCCGATCATTCGAGGGCTCATTCTGTAGACTTTCTTAAGATCTCGCTGAGGCCGCGCTGAGAAGTCCTTGAACAAATACTGTCTGTCCTAATCCCTTAAACTCCAAATTTCTGATGACATTGTGACTGTACTTTTAGGAGAGGATGATCTTAGCTACTACTTCCTTTGGCTATCCTGTGTCAGATACAATTAGAAATCATTTTATTTTGTGGCCGTGTCACACAGGGACACCAATAGGAAAGCTTTGTCAACCCACCCCCCACCCCTCCTCCACAAAACTCAAGTCCGCATTGTTACAGTAGTTCTTCCAGACAACCTTCCACTGTGTGAGTCCACTAGCGTCGCTCAGCGGGCTACAGTGTCGTGCTGCTACAAGGGGAAATCTTGGCGCCATTAGGGAGGGGATTGAAGCCTTTATTAGTCTGTCTAGTGTACACCTGGATTCTATAACAGTCTTCTCCTTGTGCACCGATTGGTGTGGGCTCCTGGATCGTGTATGACTTGGCAATTGAAGGCTCCATGCTAGAGTATTCTTGCAAAATTGTCTTTGTGTGCTTGAATGCCTCATTTAAGACACGTTAGACAAGTGGACCAGCTTTGGTTCATTAGTTGAGACTGTTGATGCAGTCTTTGAGCAGCCAAATGACATCAAAAGCGATCCTATGGGTACACGGCGATCTTTTGTTCCATCAACCCAGATGAGCAGTGACAAGAGGCTGATACTCACCGCCTTCCAGTTGCTCACCCTTAATCTCCTCTTCCTTAGCCGCCCAGTCCCGGTCACGACGACACGCTTTTTGGGTCATGTGGACACAACACATTGACCTGTGCTGGGCTGGGCTCCTGTGCACAGGGACACTTTGGCTGTCAGCGGGCTCACAGGCGCTCCCCTCTACATGCTGACACCTATCCTGCCTGGAACAGATGCAAGGTGGTGCAGTGGGCACTTCCTGTCAGCCCAGTGCCAGCACACAGCATGACTGCAGTGGTGTGGCTCGATACTTTCAAATGATTGATTTGTATTTGGCTGAAAGAAAGCTACATAATTGTCAGCGTGATCAAATTTTATTTTAGGCCCAGGATGAGTTACAAGGACTTCATGAAAATCCTGGCATTGCAAGGAATCATTATCACCGAGAGATGTTTGAATAGACTCTTGAGAGCCAGCTTGCGGAGGTACGACTTGGACACCGGGATCAATTTTATTGCTCAGCAACTGCAACACTCTGGGAGGGATCATGGTTACCGGTGGATGTGTACAAAACTTTTTGGCATTAATATCACGACTTCATGTTGGTCTAAAATAAAAACATCAGATGCAATAATTTGTGGCTTTTTGAAGGCACTGACCTGAAAAGCGAGTCTGTGAAGGTGCGCTTGATTTGTTTACCCTCTTGTCCAATAAGGGATCTTCATGTGCACACTGTGACTATTTTGTGTGCACGCTGTAACTATTTTGTACGCACAAATTAATAGTCCGTGCATACCAAGTAGCAATTTGTGTGCACAAATAAGTTTTTCAAATGTCATGTCTGGTTAAAACTCACCCTCAGCTTAAAATGAAAAAGCCATACTCGTGTAAGGCACTGCACCGGACATTGTCAGCTTGAATCGATTACAGTAATGCAAAATTTGCCATAGCAGCAGGAAGTCTTAGACCAACTTTAGCAAAGGTGTGATTCAGTGGCAATGAGAAATGTGTTTTGGTTGTACGGGAAGTGTTTTCACTGTGTCGGTTGTGTTTTTGGTTCGCAGCCGTTACAGCAGCCGCTGTGGTCGCAGTGGTGCTTGCTGATCACATTTAGAGTGCTGCAGAAAATACACGGCTTACTTAGCAGTTGGGCTTTGGCCACGAGGCTTCATGACAGAACAATGTAAGCAAGCGTGTGAGTGCTTGCCATGCGTGTTCAGTGTGCAATCGGTTGCTGCCTTCCACGTCCTCCAACATGCAAATCGTCAATTTATTGATTGAGCTGTCAAACGCATGTTTAGCCTTTGACTGGTGCTTTCCAATTCTGTGATAGTAGAGGTATTTCGATCAAAATATGGAAAAAAAAACCTCACTACTACATATTTGGGCCTCAGAGACCTTCTGGAGATTCTACTTTATCATCCGCATTGTAATGCAGCCTTGTTAGGACCGTGAGTGGATGATTGTAATTCGTTTTGAAAATGCTATTTCAGGCTTTGGATGCTGATGAGTCACGGAGCAGAGCTGTGTTTATTAAGACCTCACCGCTAATGGCTGGAGTATTTTTTTTCCCCCCAGCAGGGGGTTAGTAGGATGTAGGTGTGTTATTGAATAAAAAGCTCTGACAGGAAGCACTGTCTCCAAACGCACAGCTTCAGGCCTGAATTCTGCGCAGAACAACCAGTTGGATTTGAACGTTGCACCATGGAAACCTCCATTGACAGTGGCTTACATTAGGCTTCAGTCGTTTCTGGGACGGTTGAGCAGTCTCCTCCATGCCCCCTTGTTCTCTTGTTTGTCTGCCCTAATTGCTAATGTGCGTTTGCCTCCTTTCCAGTCGTGCTTTGGGCTACTACAGTTCATTGCGGACAGAGCAAAACTGAAACTTGCTTCTCTTGTAAGCCCATCTGTCGATGCTGCGACCATGGAGGAAAAGCAGAGGCGAAAGGTGCCAAATTTTGTGATTGTGTGTCCACACGGTCCGCCATTGACATAGTTACTGTAAAGTCTGACTGGTCCTCGTGACATGTGCTGCATGTGGCTGCTGAGTCGTCGTGGCCTTGAGTCATGCTGCTGGAAAAAAGGTCTCAGGTCAGTGAGTGTGTCACAACCCATCCCGTCGTCTCTTTACCGCACAGGCATCAAGGACACATGAGGGGAAAAAAAAGACTACTTCTTGACCTGATTCTCAGTGGCTGTTACCGCTCACACATCTGCTCTTTAAAGGGCAACAGCCAAGATGCAGCTCGCAATATGGGATTTATGCTTCCACTAAGGCGTTTTTCCTTCCACTCTATCACCTCGACCACCCTACGAGATTAACAAATAAAGATCACCAGTGTTGCCAGAGTGAGAATCAAATCTGCTGATTTTGTCCTTTTCAGGACTCTTCATTTGAGCCGTCTCAGCGTGATATGG